GTTTCGTGTGACGTAAATGGAAGTGGAATTGCAGTTGGTGGTGCGACATCCATGGATTATCTCTGCAACTTTTATGACGCCAATGTTGACATCAACAACCAAGATCTGTATCGATTGCGGTCTCCGACGCAGATGGAGGCCAATATGAACAATTCAGCTTCTACTTCAACCATGATTCAGCAAAATCCTATGAATCCTTTTGAGCAGAGCGGTTCAATGAATCTCAGTCATTTTCAATGGACACTTGCATCAATTGGAGGTCGTCAAGCTACAGATTTCATGGACCAAAGCCCTGCACAGGAGGAAGAAGAGTTTCAACTGTGGTGGTAACTTGATTGAAGAGAGCGCCAAGATCTCAAGGCAAGGTTTTCCTTCTGAATCAAGTTGTAGATAATAACAATGCAGGTATGTTTAGTATGTCTGGCAAAATCACTTGTGTACTTCTCTTATAGATATTCCAAGTGTGGAACTCAACAATACATTAGCTGAAAAAAGAGATAATTATGCTAGAAAAAATTCTATAGAAACTTTGAGTGCAACAATCTGGTGCCATCAATTGACTTCTTTGTTTTCTTGCTGGGGGTTATGTGTATCTATGCTTTGTGGTTCTCTGTGTTTTTGCAGTTCCTTTCTCTCTTTCATACCAAAAGATGACAAATTACAGTAGCCTGTAACAAGTTCATACTTGGTGTTTGCGTTGCAATGTGCTCCTGATTTGATCTTATACCGAAACGGAAGAAGACTTGAATGAACTGAACATATTACTTAAATGGATCAGATATCTTCAGATGGTGACAATATTAAACCAATACAAATGGTAGCCACAGATTTGAAGATCTAATCTCATTAGAGTTGCACCAGCAGCCTAGTATCAGGGCTTAGAACAATTATGTTACTGATGCTGTCACACAATTAAGGACATACATTGGTAGAAATAAGCTTGTCTACTTCAATAATCATAATATATTTAGAGAAGAAGTCTGAAATCTTCAAGCAGAGGAGCTCATGGGCACTTGGGACCTCCTCTCTTGGTCTTCCAGTTATTGTAGCATGGGCAAACCTCCTTGTGTGCATAGGTTCCTGGAGGAACACACCTGCACTTGAAGCAGCACTTCTGGCAGAAGAACAAGCAGGGCTTCTTGTAGGCAGTCTTGGAGCATCTATATTGACAGGCACCTGGGCACTCTGCAAAATCATATCCAAGGATGAGTAAATGAGAGATCGCCAATCTGGCAAACATCGCTAATTACAAGCATTAATAGATTTAATTTTCTTTTCCTGGTAGAGCTTATGACTAATATAAGTTGCAACATAACAAAGATTTTTCCTCTCTATATTTCTATAAGAACTTCACAAAAATATTGTCATCGGATTAGATTAAGTCAGCCAAGCAAGGAGATATATGTTGTTGATGTGCAGAACACTCTTATTTAACGTTGACCAAAAAGATGTGATGGCAAGGAGGCATCTATTGTTGATGTACTTGTAGCTTTCCAATTCCTATTAACTTTCTCTCTAGTCAATTTGCTTACCAAGACTGGATCTATCTCTGTCATCACAGATTTGTAGTAGATGCAAGTTTCCTCTGTATTTATGTCAAAATTATTAGTTTTTGAGTTGGAAGAACTTAAAGGAGTTGACCACTATCACTAGTGTAGCAAGGAGAAGGAGAGGCTGATGAGAAATCAGAGACAGACAAGTGCAGGGTGCATTAGTAGCAATACACGAAGTTAATTATCCATTTACCGATACTTGTTAAAGAGTATTTTTACTGGCTTATGAACAGATTTGTCTTTTGGTTGATGTGATAGAATCATGCATGATGGTTGATGAAAATACAGGAGAAGATACTCCATCAAACAATGGAACTGTTCTCCGGTTGCCATTGAAGGTTTCATGTTAACCTGACAGGGTTGGCATAAGATCAAAGTAGCTCAGGACATTTAAGGCCAGTTCTAACAAATGCAAGTACAAGCACTTCATAAATGGATCAAACATGTTGCATCTGATGCAGCAGTTTGTAAGAACAGAGAACAATCAGAAACATAGCTGCCATTTCTAAAACCATACCTGCTTCAGAAAACCCAGAATGCTTATGTTTATGCTGCCAACCAAGTGAAAAGACACCAGTTAGGCCTTATACACAGAATCTCTCACTCCCTTCGACAATGCAAACATTATATGGAATGACAACTAAGTTGCTATTTTACCGACCCCTTTTTCTGCCAAGCTCACACCGAACTCCTCAGCTGGGAGATCCTACATACATGTCAAATGCATAGGCAAAATTGCAGCCTTCATCAGATGCCGTTGCTGTGTAATCTACAAAAGGAGAGAAAGAGAGAGAGGAAGGGGGGGGGAGATTTAACCTTGGCTGATGCTGCCATTGCAGCACAGCAAACGAGGAGGATCAGGAAGAGAAGAGCCTGAGTAGATCTCTCCATTACAGACGAACCCACAAGAAAGCCGTTGCAACCCGAGCTGTGCATTTATAAGGCGGAGAGCAGCTTCTCCACCGCTATTGCCACCACCCTTCACCGACACACCTCCATCATCAATTCCCTCACACCTTTTTTGCCTGTGTTTGTCTCTTCGGCTGGGATGGATTGGCCAGCTCGTGCATGTACTACTCTTGCCTGGTTGAATTCAAAGCTACGGGGTGGGGGTGGGGGGCCGTCGCCATCCTCTCTACGCATAGTTGCTGTTAAAGCAAGTCTGTGTACAGGAATCTAAACCAATTGGCTGCAGAAATGCTCCAAAAAATTGTGAACAGGAAATCCAAATCCATTCGTTGATGCATCCACATGGTGGATTGTGGCCTACTTCTAATAATTTGAGCTATCATTCATGCACAGTATACTCTGATGGTATTCGAGGAAAGATATTATTAGTTACTCGCATTGAGAAGACCACATAATTGTGGTCTTCTACTCTCTTTAGTGACCACTGATACATGGAATTTATTGTATATATAAATAATCAATTACCTACACTAATCAAAGAAAAAAAATGTTGTTTGATAAAAATTCAAGAGAATTTTATTATCCAAATTTTGTATCGAAAAAAATGATTAGGGATACACATTTTCTTCGTAAACACCATTTGGATGCTTCAAATCGAAAATTTATATTATTATTATTATTATTATTATTTTATCAAGCTCTCAACTTACTTATGATAAAGAGTCTTGAATTTAGATCAAGGTAAAATATAATACATGGACTATCTGATAATCTTATATAACTAGTTTTAAGAGTTATTTTAATGATTATTATATTATATATAGTTAAATGATCATAAAATATGTATATATATATATATAAAGAAAAAGTAAAAAAAAAAGGGTAAAAGCTTTGTTAGGTCTGCAAACAAGCGGGCCCTGCTCACATGCCCATGGCTGCTGTCTCATTAAGTTAGGAGACAAGCATCCAAAGACTGCAACCCTGCCTTGAGCGCTACGGTGAGCTTTCCTGACGATGGCTCCACCGAGGCACGAGAGATCTCTGACGGGACAAGCTTCAAACATCCGATCACACTGTTGGTAGATACGCCTACGTTCTTAGAGATTTTACATTTGGAAGGGCCAAAGTTAGAAACCCCTCCCCTCTCGACCTAGGCCAGTGTACAAAAACCCGACGACGACAAAGCGGAGCGTGCCCATCGAAAAGGCTCATCCAAAACCAACTACGAGCTCAACTAGTCCTCGACGAAGGCTTGATCATCGGGACAATCCTAGACATGAACCGAGTCATTTAACGGGTCATTCGAACGAGACGAAGATTATGCAAGTAAATGAGCTAATCTTTGATCCAATCTTATTTTAATTAAAAAAAAATTATTTTCTCGTCTTATAGATTAATGATAGATTGACTCCTTTATGAACAGGTGGAAATATTGCTCAACGTGAACAAATCGAAGACAAATTCTATCAAGTTAACAAGGACAATATCATCTACTCAGACTTATTGATGTTTTTCGGTTTCACAAATGATATCATAATAATATTTATTTTAGTTACATTTATAACGTAATAAAGAGAATAATGCATTGATTTGACCATATATAATAACAAGGACGAAGCATATAATTTTTGCATGATTTTTAATTATCTAATCAAATAAATTTGCCAATCTGCAATTGTCATGTGAGTAGATGATCGAGGTAGCAATCGATAGGCATGATCACCTTATTTCACCCAACACTTACTATAGCAGTCAAAGATCAAACAGAAGAAAAGTCTCCAAAGTGTGTGTAAGGTTGGAGCCAAGCTGTCTTGGTAAAACATTTAGATGCTTATTGGGGGGCTAAATTGGTTTGCTTACATATATTTCTCCTACATAAAATCATAACATGACAAAGTTCACTTTTTAGCATAAGCACATCACATTGTAAACAAATATCATCTGGGTCTTAGATCTTAATTAAACACTAAGTGTTGCTTAATTTCAATCATTTTGAAGATACAAGTCTCCATGACCAAATGAATTAGTAACCATATGCTTTATTGTGAATGAAATGACTGTCTTTTGTTAATATCATAGAGTAAGAAAACATCTGAATTTTCAACAACTCTGGAACTTGAATTTTACTTGGGATGAGGTATGTAGTTGTTCATCACACTCATACAAGGGACTTACATGTATGAAAATTAATAGTCTAATATTTCAGTATAATCCTACATTTGAAGTGGGTTAGGAATTGAATGAAACTTAGATGAATCTATCATCATTAACTATGACTTAGATACTCACAAAATTAATGCATTAGTTGCAGGATCATAATAAACATATAGTATATTTAAATAAATTATATAATATCTTTATTGTGGTGGTAAAAACACTAAAACATGTTAAAAATATTGTGATAGACAATATTTTTTCGAGATAATTTAAGTATTTTTTAAATAAAAAATACTATTAAAAAAAATAAAATAAGAGTATGAATTAAAAATTTTAAAATAAAAAACTTTCTAGAAAAGTCGCTTGGAACACAGCACACCTCTGAGCAGCGGAGACCGAAGAGCTCGGATCCAGGGAGAGGTTCCCCAAATCTTGCGCGAAGCGAGCGAGTGAGAGCGATCCGAGCTCGTCGCCCACGAAGACGAGCTTCAAAACTCGATTTTGATGGTTCTTTCTCTCTCCATCATTCCATTCACGGTCGGTAGTTGTTTTGGCTTTCTTTGTCTCTATGGAGTTCGATTCTGTTCCACTTTTTTGACGTGTAATTTCGACCTTTCTAGGTTCTGGATTTGATTTGTTGTCTCTAGGTTGGGTTGGATCTAGAGTGATCATCAAAATGCTGCCTTTATGCTCATCTATGGTAGAGAGGTGAACCGTGCCAATGTGGTTTCGGGTACCGCCTTTGGGTTTGGAATGAGGTCTCTGGAGAGTCTTTGAGATTAATCGTGTTTTCCTGTGGATTTTCTTCCAAAATCTTCTTCTTTTGTCTGGATTTGTTGAGTATGACTTAGAACCGTAACATTTGGGAGTCAGGTAGTGGTACCGATGCTTTAAGCCACTAGTTATTGGCCCTTAGCTTACATCCAGGAATTCCATTTGTTTGAGTCTCTTCTTGATTGGTTTTGGGCACTGTTCTTACTTCTTGTTGGGTTCATAAATGTGGAATCTTTGCTGATAAATTAGGTATTTTTCTTGTGATGACCACTAAGCTGTGAATGGCCAATTCAAACATACAACCGCATCGGCCTGTATGCCCGAAACCCTTCTTTTTCTGCCTCACATTCTTGGTACTCCTGGTTATCCCATATCTTTTCTTCTGGGTTGACTCTGGCATACAGGTCGTCAGCCATGTATTGCCCAAAAAAAAGATCGTTTCAGTGATTGCGAACCTCAATACTCCTTCGAGAAACCACGAAGGTGAGTCTACATTGTTCAAGGAGTCAACTTTCTTGCATCAACATGCACCAGCAGAGGAAGAGTTCACGCAATGTAATCCGAGCAATGCTCTCTTGAAGGTTTTCATGTATGATTTACCACCTGAATTTCACTTTGGAATTTTGGGTTGGAATGGTGATGGCAAGAGTGTGTGGCCAAATATACGGGCTGAAGTTCCACACTATCCTGGTGGGTTGAATCTTCAGCACAGCATTGATTATTGGCTGACATTGGATCTCCTGTCTTCAAGATTTTCTGACCGGAGTGCCCCATGTAGTGCTGTGAGGGTTGAGGATTCTCGTGAAGCTGATGTTGTGTTTGTTCCTTTCTTTTCATCTTTAAGCTGCAATCGGCATTCAAAGGTCAATCCACCTGAAACAGTTAGTACAAACGAGTTGTTGCAGAAAAAGTTGGTGGAATTTTTAACGTCTCAGAGGGAGTGGAAAAGGTCAGGGGGACGAGACCACATTATAATGGCACACCATCCAAACAGCATGTTAGATGCTCGTATGAACCTGTCGCCTTGCATGTTCATTCTTTCAGATTTTGGGCGGTACTTTCCCCATGTAGCTAATGTGGAGAAAGACATCATTGCACCTTACAAGCATTTGATCAAGACATTTGTCAATGATTCGTTTGGCTTTGATGATCGTTCAATTTTATTGTACTTTCAAGGAGGTATCCACAGGAAAAATGTAAGTGCTTTTCAATTGACACTCGTGAAGTCTGTCAGAAGTATGCTTGATAGTAATTGTTGATGCATCACTGCAGCCGATTCTTTCATTTTGCTACTTGATTAATCCATGAACAGAAGCTTATGAAAACTTTGTTTGGTCAAATGGCTTCTTTGGCTTCTGTATGTGCAAGTAATGGTATACCATTCAGCACATTATTGGTGTGGTCAACCTGAAAATCAATTTCTTTATTTTAAGTTGTAGAGTCAATTCACTTGCCCAAGTCCAGATGAACAGGATCGAAAAAAAGAGAAATGTTGTTCATCTACATTTATGGAAGAATAAAGGGGAAGAGAAGATAATGCAATTGTTATTTTCACTGTACCATAATGGGCAAGTGAAGAATCTTCTAAAATGTTATTAGTGACCCTTTTTTATTTGTGAGCGTGACTGTGAACCTAAAGGAGAAAGGAAATAACTATAGAATATCGATGTCTGAACCTACAATTTCGAATGCACTTTATTTATTGTTGAGAGAGGTTTAGATCAGATTTCCATGTCAAGTATTTGGAACTTCATATCTATTAATATTTATCTCTTGTTGGTGTAATGTTTTAGCTGCTTAACTCATGACCATTAAATTCATTCTTACAGTTCTAATTCATGATTTTTGAATCCAGCTGATTTTCATCTCAACTAGACCATAGTTGTTCCCATAATCTCACTTCTTTATTCAATAAATCATCTATATTCTTGAGGGTTAAGTTGAAGTGTCACATCATTCCCTAGAGTAAAATTACATGATCTATATGCAGAAATCAACTTTATGAACTGTAATTCAAGTATAATAGTTTTTATCAATGCATTACATGATGTACATTGATTAGCAAATGACTGTTCTACTAATGTAACAGCAATACTCCTATGTTTACACTTCCATATGGTTAGAATGTTATAGGTCCACACCTTGAACAGTTAATTATATACATGCTTTAGCCTATCTATTCTTAGTTCCACCATGTTACTATACCACAGTTGCCATGGTACTTCTTAATCAGGACAATTCTTTTTGGCCCTTTTCCATTTAAAAGGATAACATAAAGATAAGAGATGCAGGAAAAACAGAATTGTCCTGTGGAGAAGTATGCAGAACTAAAATGTAAAGAACATCATCATATGAAAATTTTGATGAACAATATAATAAATTTTTTTGCTCCAAATGTCTATCATATATATAAATGTTAAGGAAGTATTACTTTTTTGTTCCTTGTAAGAAAATTAAAATGAAGGAAAAAGTTATTCAGCTTTCTTATTGAGGAACAAATTCTCACGAATTTTGGGTTTCTAACTTCTTGTTCCTGTTATGGTGTTATGGAAGTGTTTGTTAGCTAGAAGAAAAAGAACAATCAACCAGATCACAAGGTGACTTGATTTTGCTCTTCTATCCCTGCTTTGTGTTATAATTGATGTACTTGTCTTCTTTCATGACTTTCTGTATTAAATCAATGAACATATTTTTATCTTAATGTATCATTTGAGGTATTATACCATGAATTATAAGTTTTGACTTAATTATTTCTCGTTTCCTTGAAAACCTAGTCAACAACCAAATTCCAGATTCATCAAGCATGCGTCAATTTCTTTTGTCATCCTTAGCTTCTTTAAAGTATTGTCAGAAACCTTAGCTTTTTTTCTCTTAGGTCAACCTACTGATTGATTGCATTCTATGGAGAAAATTTTCTGTCACACTTTGTAATATATTATCTTCCACTCTATAGTTGGTCTTCATGCCAGAATGTGAGGCATTGGCATGGATGTGGCTTAGTATTGATATAGTATATAAACAAGAATTACAAACAGTGGCATGTTGATGATGCAACTGTCATGAAAAAAAAGAGAAGATATACCCCTGAAAGGGTCCCAGTACAAGTTCATGTTTCCAATATGATATAAATCTAGGCTTGTTTGTTTTTTTCTTTTCTTTAAGCATGAAGCAAATTTTGCCACAGGCTTCTGTGATGTGTAACCTCAGGCTTTTTAATAGTTTGAGTAAGCCAAAACAAGTGAATAATGAAATGAAGATTCAACGATGTGGTTAGGAAGTTGTTTATCTTCGACCTTTATATTGGGAATCAAATATAGCTTGGTGTATGTAGTATATAAGTTCTAGTAGAAGGCTAATAGAGAAATGTCATCATATTATTCTTTGTCACAAAATGCAAGATCAAAGCTCCAAAATTACAGGTAACAGCTAAATTTTCTGGTACAATTAATTGGCCTTACTTTTGTCTTCTTCAATTTGAGGTCTGGGGAGGGTTAATATATGCAGCCTTATCTCTATGATAGAAGGGCTGTTTTAGTGACTTGATCCCTTTAATATATATTCAAATCCATAACTATAAAGTTGTCATCATGATTATCAGTAGCAGAGTACAACAAGCCCAAGGTATTGCTCGGAGGGCGCATGATCTTAATAGCAGTTGTTTGGTGGTTGTAGATCCAAAAATTTTATAAATATGCATACTTAGTTTGAGTATCATGCAATATATGGAACTAGAATTAAAGTTGCTATGTTGAGGAATATATATAGATAATGTGGAAGAAATACAACCTTAAAGAGGAAGTTACTTCACAGAGATTGGAAGTTACTTTGGTGAGCAAAACAGAGAACAAATTTGTTTCAGTTGGACGTTATGTATCTTGTGTTGGATAGCTTAGAGAGCAGGTTTACTACTTATAACAGAGCTTAAAAAAATTGTGCAAGTTCGATGAATTGAGAGATCTTATGCAGATCATGCTATGAAAAACATACTTGATTCTCAACTGGTTCCTTGGTTTCTGGTAGTATCTTTTATTTTTTGTAGGTTTTATGTTAATGTTAACTCAGAGTGCATTGGATCTACATACAGCACTGGCTTTAATGACAAAGAACAAACCAGTTTAGTGACCTTGTCTCCCCTTGTTGCATTGTTCCGTAATGGTGAAGACAAATACCTTCGGTCAGGACAATTTGTTATATCCATGTCATGTTCAATCAAGAAAATCTTGTGCATGGCTGCTATGTTGTATTGAGTAATGACTAGAAAATCATGATTTAGTGCATTCATTTGCCTTTCTCTGTAAGACTTGTTCGCATTGTAGTGTCTAATGGTTGTTTATCAATGACACAGAATTGTGAATGTGTTTCTCGTTATCAACTCTATTTTTCCATTCTAATTACCATTGACACATTTTGAACCTGAAAGTCCACAAACATCTTGGATGTACCCTTGAGAAGTAGAACCTTATATGAGTGTAGAAATTGTACTTTGTTTACGCTCCATTGCTTCTTTCTTATATAGCAAACAAGATAAGCTGATAATTTCCTTTTATGGCTTGGTGTTTAGGGAGGATCAATCCGAAAACAGCTCTTTAATCTTCTGAAAGGTGAAAAAAGTGTGCATTTTGCATTTGGAAGCCTTCGTGAGAATGGGACCGATGAAGCCAGTCGAGGAATGCATTCATCAAAATTCTGTCTAAATATCGCCGGGGACACCCCATCTTCCAACCGGCTTTTTGATGCCATCGCTAGTCACTGTGTCCCAGTCATCATCAGTGATGACATCGAGCTCCCGTATGAAGATGTCCTCGACTATTCCAAGTTTTGCATCTTTGTGCGGAAATTTGATGCTATCAAGAAAGGTTTTCTGATGACATTGATTAGAAGCGTAAGCCGAGAGGACTGGACCCAGATGTGGCAAAGATTGAAGGAGGTCGAAGGTTACTTTGAGTTTCAATACCCATCAAAGAAAGACGATGCGGTTCAGATGGTATGGCAAGCAGTGGCCAGAAGAGTACCAGCAATTCAGCTCAAAGTACACAGATCATCTAGATTCTCCCGATTTGATGTATCCACATAGGAAAAGAAGTTTGTCATCTTAGGAGTATGATCAAGTAGATCAGTAATCTTCACATCATTCCTACAACCCAGAATTGTTCAGGATTGGAGAATGCAGCAATCAATTTCGCAGATTGACATTGTTAATTTGCATGAAGGGGAAGGAGGGAAGGATGAAAAGTTGTATTTTACATACAGAATTAAAAACAAATGATTTTTAATGTTCCTTGCCGAAATCCTTCAAAGTCGAACTCTCATGGTTATCATATTTTCCTCTTTGAATTATTTGACCTATATGAACATATGAAGCAAACATGTATAATTTATTGCTTACTCAATCTTTCTATGAGGAACATTTAAATTCATGAGCAATATCAAAAACCTATTAATCTTGTATCAAAATTTACATAAAAATTAATTTAAGTAATAAATTACACAAAACTATAGTAGATGTTCGAGAGTCTAATAATCCAAGAGATTTCCAGGTTTTAACATTGAAAATGTTTCATGCCAAAAAACACTTTGATCCTTATAAAATCACACGAAAAATCAACTCTAATGCTTATAAATTTGACCTTCTACTGATATTATTCGAGTTATCAATGTTAAATATATAACGACTTATTGTAATATGATGAGTTTTCCTTATGAATAGATCCATAGAAAAATGAAGAGAAAGATTTAGATGACTGGACTATTATGGGTATTAAGCAAAATAAAATATGTTATTATAATTCTAATAATGAGAGGTATTTTCTTGGCAAGTCGACCAATATTTTTATTAGATACACAACCCGGGCCCAGTGCACGTGGACACACGTCACGTCTGCTCGACCACAAAACGCGCTTACACGCGTCGGTCTCACGTGCGTGCTTGACCTGCCGTGGTCCCCACCGCGAGACGCGCGTTCATTGGTCATGACTAAATCCAATTTCATTGATTTCCCCGTTCATTTCCCCTATGTAAAGCTGTTCTAATACGACCAAAACATTACTCTATCTTGTCAACAATGTCCTCATAATTTAACGTGATTTGGGAAGCATTACTAGCACTGAAAGTGTTATTTTTAATTCATCCTCGATTAAAATATATATATATGTATGTATAATTCAAAAATACTTGCAAAGCATGTAATTTTGTCCAAAACTTTAAAGAGGAAGATAGTAATGGTTCGGGACAACACTTATCCTCGGGAGGAGCCACTCTGCCAAGTGTGGGTCAACCCATGCATGAAGTCAAACCAATGGCTCAACCGTCAAAATCTGACGTGCATTGCCCAACCTTATCCCTTCTGTATCTCAATAAAATCTTGGCTACTCTGCTGACGGTTACTCTCGTTCTACCCACCTCTTGATCGGGGACGACTATGGACCCCAGTGGGTGAGAGTGGGAGATAGAAATTTTAGGAATCCATTCTTTTCTTGGTTCAAACAGAAATACATTAAAAGCTAAATGTCATTATATAATATTCAAGAAGATAAATTACTTTTTTTTAGATACAAAAAATAGAAAATTATGCCAACCATATGGCTTAATTAGTAAATAATTCTATAATAAATTACTTTTTTTTCCTTTATTTGAAATTATATTAGTTTATACTCTAATGTGACAGACAACATGATCAAAACTTGACCTGCAGCCAAAAAATGGTGTAAATTTGCAGCAAGAGCAATGTGACTTGGAACCATAGATAGAAAGTTAATATTAGGTTGGCCAGTTTGGTCCAGTGCAGGTTAAAATAGAAAGTTAAAATGCTGCCACCAAAGACTTGGATTAAATTTAGAAAAACAAAACAGGACAAATCCCAGACTAATATACTGTAAATTTTGCATGTATAATTTTTTGGTTGCTGGAGGCCATGGTGATAAAGTCAAAAATAATCAACTCCTGCAGTAAAGAAAGAGGTCAGAGTTTGTCTGGTTCTGCCTTCCTTGCATCTTCCTTTCTCCTCCTCCAGCTCACCAACCCAAAGGATAGAGAGGTCCAAAACCATCCAAGAACACCCAAGGTAATCCTTCCTTTTCTATGTATATACTTTTCTTTTTCCTTCCTCCTTTTAATTTCTTTCTTCCCAAGGATTTGAAGAAAAGATCTGGTTTTGTTCTGTGCGTTTCCATTAATTTCTTTTTCTGTATGTTTATTTGTTTATTCAGAACTTTGAGGTCTTCAGTCTTGATAGACCTTTGATCCTATCTTTATTGAGTTTCTATTTCATCTTCATGCTCAAGATTTGCGTTGTAAAAGATGGGATTTTGATCAAGGTTTGGGATATGTTTCGCGGGATGCTGAGGGATTCGTCTTTGGCTTCTGTGGCACGAGAGCAAGGACCCTCTTCTGGGAACACTCAAAAACATTTTTTTCTGGTAATTGGAAATATTTGACTTTTCCTCATAGGCATCTTAACTTTTGTTGTGTTCTTCTTGTGTGAAAGAAAGGCATCTCCTTTGTTTGCAACTTTTACCTTCAGAACCAATTTTATTTTCCCTTCAAGTCCATGGCAATCTCTCTTCCCCCCTGAACCTGATCTATGTCTGTAATTCTTGATTTTTTGCTTTATTTTTTTTTATGAAAAGTATTTTAGACTATTCTTTAGACGTACCTGCTAGGTTGTGACATGACGTATTCGCGATTCATTTTTGTTTTGGCAGGTAAAAGCTTGAGATTCCTTCTCTGATGACTTTGTTTTAGATGACAAGCTATGGAAGGAGGATGAGGGGGTAGATTTTTCTTGGATTGCAAGATTTACTGCCTGCTGGTGCTAAGATTCGCTCAGATCTGCTGTTCTGTAAATCGAAAACCTGTAGATACTTCTAGTTGAATCCCTGAAACCTTTGCATACCTTATCAGTAGTGGAAGTTGACAAGAGGATCAGTAAGATGAGTGAAGCTCCGGTTGGTAGATATTGGTGCCATGCGTGCCATCGAGTTGTTAATCCGGTCATGGAACCGGAGCTCAAGTGTCCTTTCTGTGATGATGGTTTTGTGGAAGAGATGGAGAGTAGAGGATTTGATGACTCCGACTCCACTATCGATTCAGATCGGTCCCTCTCCCTATGGGCTCCGATCTGGTATCAATTGATCAATGGTTCTTCTCGCCGTTCAAGGTCCCGAAGGGAAGAGGATGACGACGACTCAGATCTGGACCGTGAGTTCGAAGACTTCATAAGGAGGCGAAGGAGGAGATCTGCCATTATTCAGTTGCTCCAGAGTTTACAGGATGATCTTAGGTCTGAGACAGACAACTTTGAGACCGAAGTAGAGAGGGAAAGGGAAAGGGAAAGGGAAAGAGAGAGCCTAATTCTCATCAATCCTTTCAACCAGGCCATAATTCTCCAAGGATCCTTGGACACAGACCAGAATGATGGCCAAGAATCGAATAGTGCCGGTGCCTCATCAGGAGATTCCTTTATGGGTTCTGCTTTGGACATGCTGTTGCAGCATTTGGCGGAGAACGATCTGAATAGGTATGGGACTCCACCGGCTAAGAAAGAGGCCATAGATGCATTGCCCACAGTGAAAATTGAGGAAACCTTGGGCTGTTCTGTCTGTCTTGAGGACTTTGCTATAGGAATGGAAGCTAAAGAGATGCCATGCAAACATAAGTTCCACCGTGACTGCATACTTCCATGGCTGGAACTCCATAGTTCGTGCCCAGTTTGTAGGTCTCAGTTGCCTGCTGATGATTCAAAAGTTTCAAATGGGTCTAGTAATGGCAGTAGGATCGATGAAACTGATGGTGATGATGGTGATGGCGGTGATAGGGTTGGTCGAGGAGATCCTAATAGATTCTGGGTCCCTGTTCCATGGCCTTTCAGTGGTCTCTTCTCACTATCAGGTTCTCAGAATGGTGGGACCTCATCTTCGAATGCATCATCATCAAACTCTGGAACTAACACACATGGTGAGGAGAACTGATTTTGTTTTATTCATCTTTTCCATGGATGAATCAGAGGGAGTTCAGGTAGATTTCAGCTTGTGGCGGCTCTAGCCTGATCTGATCTCTTATCATTGTCAATATCACACCCGTGGATGTTCATCTTTTGCAGATAGATAAGGGATGATATCTAGATAGCATCTTCGTTCGTAGTGTTGTATGTTGTCGATTGTACTCCTTGTTTCTCTTGCCTTTTTTGGTTTCAAATATGGCAGCTGTAATGACTGGAATATAAATTGTCTTGTGTGCACCTGTTATGAAGAAGAATGATGAAGAATATATTGTAGCTGAAAAATACTCGGGAATGGAGAAATTTATATCACAAGGTTCAGGTACTTTTTTCATCTTCCTCCAGTGGTTCTTCCGAATTGCGTTGCTATGAAATTTGTTTTGTGGCTGAAATCTCGAACCATTGTTGAAAGTTCATCTTTTGGTTGCAACACATGCTGCATCTTGATTATGATGTCTTGGAGGAATAAAAGTCTGAATAGTTTCTGAGGAAGAAATTTGTTAGGTACAAATACTTGATCAATATACTTTTCAGCGAATTGGGACAACCAATAGTTTATACTTGTTCTTGAGCCAAAGGTTGAGTGAAGTTTCTCTTCTTTTACATATAGTTTTCATTTGGTGTATCAAGATTTTAGAATTCTAACTTTTTTTTTCTTGCAAGGATTAAGCTTTTGTTTTCAAGCATGTAACGGTGCAAACGAACTTTCTAACGAAGACGGCTACCTTGTAGTTGCCACATTTGCAGAAATGCATACAAAGATGAGATGAACTATCAGTAGCAGAGTTGGTTGCAAATGCAAATTACTGGATTAGGTGACTATGTGTTGTGTTCAGCTTCACACAACCTGCAAGCAAAGTGTCTGATGTCAGACCTCCAAATTGCTACAGGGAAGGTTTGTCCATGGTTTCTCTTGTGGAACAAACCATCCCAGAATGAGTTGTGCCAAACTGAATGGGTGGGATAGACTGAGATGAACTAAGACACAGGACATATAATGCCTCTGATGAGGAAGAAACCACAGCAGATTTGGGATGTCTGAGAGCAGCTGATTCATTCTCATGTGTTGGTTGTTACATAAACAATTGAGCCATTGTAAAGCAGGATTGATGATTTCTTTTATCAGTTATGTTAAAAGCCTCTAACATAACATATAAAATATTAAGGCAAGATTATACTGTTATATATGGATTACAAAAAAAATAATTAGTATTAACTAATTAGTGTCTGATAGATAACTAGATTAGACTTGATGGTGGAACCAGAAAAATGGAGAACTGATCTTATTAAATTAATTTATCTAAAATTAATCTGGTCATTTTTTAGATAATCTACATGAAGATCTAGATATCTTATGATCACCTAATAAAGTCTTTAGCATGTTTGATCTACAAAAGAAGTTGAATAATGTCAGAAAATACTTGTTCCTGAAGAACCAAAACATAGCTTACTTTCCTAATTTGTTTTTGTAGGACATGGAGAAATCTTGAAGGTTTATTATAAAAGAGTGAATTCAACTCTTTAGAATGTTAATGAGAGGTTGAGAATTAGCAGACCATCACCATTACTTGATACTTGAATGTATCATCTCATCTCCATGGTACAAAATGGATGACCGATTTATATAATGACCATGTGGCTAAGTTTGCATGAAATTTCACATCTACAAATATCATTTTATGTAGCAATAATTTCGATATTAATAGTATCCTATTGATTATTATAGTGTGTTGCTTCGTGATATCCAAGATATTTTATTGATTATCATTGAAATATAAATTATTAAATAATTTATATCTTAATTATATCATATTATTATTGTTTTTGTTCGGATCGTGCGATGCTTGCATTACATTGCTTCCCTGTTTAGGACGTTGTATGTGTTCATGCTCGTCTTCCCTATTGTCTTGTTCCTATACTTGCGGGCTTTGGAGGTTTCCTCGCCCTTACGGGTAGAAACCAGAGGTGAAGTTGTTGTGTTCGAGCATTCGAAAGATATTATCCAATTTTGATTGGCGATCTATTGTCGACGGTTTGTTATCGGCGACGATGCAATGGAGGGTGACGGCCCGGCCTACTGTGGTCACTGGCCCTGAGTTGATAAGCTATTGTGTTGGGAGGTGGCGCTGCTACGTGCGGCGACATTGCTACGGTAGGAGGCTGTTGTCCACGTAGTGCGGCAGCCAAGGCGGTTCTCTGCGATTTCTTCTCATCGCTGACCTCAGTAGGAATCGTGGCGGTCTACGGGTTGATGGAAATGGCAAACGGCAGCGCTGTGGACGGCAACAGCCTTCCCTGATCATCGACCCGAGAATGTGCCGCAGTTGCACAAGCAGCGATGGCGGAGGGCTTCGCCGGCTACTGCGCATGAAGCACGGTGCAGTCATGGCGGAGGTGTCGCGTCATCGGCGATGAAGGGCTGTGGACGCTGCCGTGTCCACAGTAGTGGAGCTCACCACAGGCATGTTGAGTGACAATGCCGATTGCTGTGCCCTTGGGCGTTGGCCTCGGTCGACAATGCCGAGAACCATGAGGTGGTCCGGCGCGCGGTCGATTCGACAATAGTGTTGCTGGCCGGCCGTGGGGGTCAAAGTCAGCGCGACCGTGTTTGGATTCTATGGATGGCAGCACTTTCGAGCATTGTAGAAGGGTCCTGGGGTCGCAATATGGTGTTGGCGGCGCCGGGTGGCAGCGCCGTCCAACTGCAAGCAACCATGCGGCATTGCGGTCGGTTGTATTATGGTGGAAAGAGGGCTCGGCGGGCTGTTGGGCGTTGTTGCGATGGAACTCGATGCCCGGCAATGCTGCGCCATGAAGATGGTCACCGGACCGGTGGCAAGACATCCGCAGCAGAGGGGCACCGGTGAAGGATCGTCGGCCATGAGATTGTGTCGATATCGTGCGATGGAGAAGTCACGATGAGAAGAAATCGCAGAGAAGGGTGTTTGGGTGACAGTAATTTTGACTTATTAAAATCTATTTTGACCAAAATTTACCCCTAATTAGATTATCATTGTAGATCATTTTTAGCCCTGATTTTGACCATTATGATCCAAATTTGCATCGATAAATTTTTTTTATCGAATTTGGATCTGATCAATTTTTATTTTTTATCAGTCAAATCTAATTTTAACTTAATGAAATTTGACTAATTTATCCTAATTTGAATTTTAATCTAATAATTATCTTGGGCTTGGATCTTAAATACAAATTGATTATAGTGATTGTTGGGCTCAATTTAGGTGGTCCAATTCTGGGCTGCCCAATTCATTGTGGCTTAATTTTTGAATCACCAAACTAAGTAGGGTTATGAACTTTAGGTCCATTATAGAATTATATAAACGAAAACTATAAGTTATGAATTTTTCTTATAGTTTCTCCTATGACATATTATTTGTGAAATTATTATTATTTGTGGTATTTAAATTTTAATTATTATTATTCGATATTTATGTAATTATTTACATGCATATATTTTAAATTATGATATTATATTAATTTTTACAATAAGGCATGAATTTTTATCATGATTATTTTTATCACAAGTTTTTGTGCTGATTAAAATTTTTATTTAATAATTATTACAACTACTTTTTATTAATCAATATTGTATAATTGGATTAAAAAATATTTGATAAATATTATTGTAACTTATATCAATAAGTTTTATTTTATTAGTAATTGTCAAAGGTAGCTTAAGATAATAGACTTATAAGGTATAATTGTATTAGCCTTGTTGCCACCAAAGTGGCATGGACTAATAAACTTATAAAATTACGTTAAGGATTAGTCTTAAATTTATTAACAAAAATAATATTAATAATAACATATATATTTATTAAGAATATCTTAAAAAAAAATTATTAATTAACTCTTAGTATGTAGCTTTGTTTGACAAATGATAAAGGCGTAAGATTCAAGTTCTAAAATTGACTTGGAAAAAAATCAAATAAAAAATAAATTAAAAAAATATTTCTTATAGTATGTTATGTGTTAAGTCTATATTAGATTAAATATTAGTTTTGATAGATATTAGAGTTACCATAAATAAAATATTAAAAAAATATAAAGGAATAAAATAAGATATTTACGAGAGACGAAAGACTATATGCTCATATATAAGAAATTAAATTAATTTGAAATAATAATATTTTTATATGTTGATTTTATAAATTACAACAATAACTGGAAGTTCACTTTCTAATTTATGTTTACATTAGTTGAATGTATAACTTACAAGAATAGTATAATGAAAATTATATTATCGACAATAGAAACTAATTTCGTGGCATGCTTTGAGACCACTCAAGTTTTATTATTGTGAAATTTCATCTCAAGACTTATGGTCTAATTCAATTGTCAAGTTGCTAAAGACATTTTATGACACACCACAATTATTTTTTTTTCTAAGAATGATAAGTACTATGGTAATTCTAAGCATATTAGCATAAAGTACTTGCTAGTCAGTGAGTCTAGAAATAATTAGTGTTAATTAAGGAACTTGAATTTTATTATATTGATTATTAATCCATTCACTTAGTTCTTAGAATCTAAAGTATTTGAAAGGATGTATTTTTATCAACCCATAAAAGATATGATGATATATGTTTGAATATATTATAATTGATATTTTTATTTACATAAATAAATTTATTTATTTTTATTATTCTGTTCATATTTATGTATATACATATTATGGTTGGATGTAATAATAGGATTATCTTCACAAAATAAATTATGAGTCATTTGTACTACATTAGGAAAAATTAATAGTGTTGTAGTATATAGAAGAAAATATGATACCAATGATATATAACTATTATGATCCGCGTTAGTAGTCAAACTTAATGTAATACAATTATACTTATTAGACTTGTTAACTTATTTTTAAATTCTTATGCGTATAAATGCTTTTCTAAATTTTATAGACCAATTGGATAAAATTATTTTTAAAATAAATTTTATTTTATTTATTTTGATCTTAAACCTTTTTTTTAGTTTATCAATTAATAAGTGAAATGAGAAAATATTAGATTTTATGATCTTATTTAATTTATTAAGATATAGTAAGATTCTAATTAAATTTTGATTTAGGTTATCGACCAAATCCACTTATGTTAGGATACGTAATGAGATGATTTTGATGGAAAAGACTCTTTTAATTATTTTTTTTAAACCATCTACTCTCACTTATATATAGGTAGGATTTTTTAGAGACCATAGTAATTCCTTTTCTTATCTTTCAAAAGTTTTATATTCTATCAATGGTGTGTTATTTCTGAGGTACCATGTTAATTATTATGTTCAAAAATACAGATATTTTATTTTTTATTT